GGAAAGGTGTCTGTTCACAGAAGAAAGACCAGAAGGATCATTTCTAATGTGAGTCCAACCCCTGAATCGGAAAATCAAACAATTTATGTGTAGTCAGGAGGGATAAAACTGCCTTGCAGTACCTCTGGGTTGGTTTGCTGTTATATTTTTGTTTGGTTTGGTTTGGTTTTCATTGTAATGCTGGGTTGCAGATATGCTTTTGGAGCCTCTTATGTCTCCTCACGCCAGCTCATAAAACCCATTGGAGTAATGGTAGGCCAAAAGTCAGTATGAAGCTGCCGATCCTGAGCAAGTAACACGGTGGCAACATTGATGGGAGATTTTATCATCAGTCACTCAAGTAAAGAGGCACACAGTACCTGGGTATGTGAATGTAGCTACAGAAACACTGGTAAAGACAAGTTTTCTGACACAAATCACCTGAATAGAGATAGAAAGCTATGTGAAGTGCAGACCCAAAATAAGTACCAGAAAGGATGAAAGGAGGCTGGTGATTATGATGAAAGGAGAAAATACCGTTTGCATAGAAGCACTGTTTGCAATGATAAGCAGAGAGAAGACACTTTCGGCTGGGTTTTGAGAAAAATACGCAAGACTTCCAAGAAAATTGTCGTGCAGGATTGCAGTGACTTGAAAGAGAAATGTGTGGAAAGGGACAATGAGAGAAATAGCAAAGAAATAATGAAGAAAATATATAAGTATATTAAAAGAAAGAAAATGAGTGCTGTTAAACAGAAGAAAAAAGATTTCTGGCAAGTGGAAGAAGAGGAAAGACAGGCTGCTGAAGGAGAGGAGGAAGCTAGAGAATAATGCTGGATCAAGCAGCAGGAGCAAACCTGGCAGAGCTGGGAGACGGGAATTGGATGTGCCTTGGGGCAAATAGCTGCGGCAGGTGAAGAGGAGGGCAGAGGAAGTCAGAGGCAAAATAAAAGAGAAGTTGAAGAATAGGAAGCTTGCATGGGGGAAGCAAAAGGAGTACAGGAGATGGAGGTGAAAGGAGGAAAGGGAAAGGCAAGCTACCAACAGAGATGGAGAGACTCCCGTCACGCTGGCCTGAAGCCCACACTGGGCTCTGAAGGCACTGCCGGTGCCTGTGGTGTCAGGGCACAGCCCAACCTGCTGGCCTGAAAGCTCGGTGCCTCGGGAGCTGCAGGAGCTCTGCTGGGCCTGGCTCGCTGCTGATAAAGTGCTCGCATAGTCTGTGCTTTCATGGGGCATTTCACAGGCTTATCATGCACTCAAGATCTGATCTAAAGACAGCTTGCGTTAGTAAGCTTTGTTTATGCAAATAAATGCTTTCAGGATCAATTGTGAAGATAAGATACAAAGGCAAAACTCTGGGACAAGAGAAGAGCTTAAGGAAAAGGAATCCTGTTAGGGCTCATGGATGAATTTATGAGGCCAGAGAAAGCCATGAAGGTAGGAGCTGCCCTAGGTGTAGTGAGGGTACCAGGAGAGCTACATGAGATTTACTGATGCTGAGCCCTTGAGAAAGGACTGGGAGGGAACCATGGCTGTAACGATGCAGAGTGGCTCCCCTCACTTAGGAAGAGTGCCACTAATGGTAATAGCATCAGAAAATGTCATAAAGATCCTTGGCCGTGAGAAGGGACCCTGTGACGACAAGCAGAGGGCTTGTTGTAGAGGATGTCAACCAACTGCTGGCAAAGATAGTTCTCACTGGCAGAAATGTAAAGAGATAGATCTGGAAGACTGGGAAACGAGTTGCTATTTGGAGACCAGAGGGAGGCAAAATGATTATAATGCAGGCAGGGAATGGCAGGGACATGGCTAAAAACGTGAAGCCAGTCTCTCAGCTAAGATTAAACAAACACAGGCCGTAAATCTTGTACAGTGAAATCTCTTTTGCTGAGAGTTACTTGTCTGAAAGGTGGTTATAAAGCTGTCCAGGGAGATTTTAGTGTTAAAGGAGATTTTTTTCCCAGCAGTTAGCTCTGTCAAAGCAACCTGGGCTCTGCTCCAGGCCAGTTCTTTTCCTTTTGCTCATCCTCTCTAGCAGATTCTGCAAGTCTAATTAGCAAGGCAGGCTTTGGCCCTTTTGTTTACATCATGATTTTGTGGCCTTTATGCTGTCCTTGCTGTGATCCCCGTGCAGCCTGGTGGCTCTCCAAGAGCAGTTGGGAAAGCAGCAGACAGCCCTCGTGCTGGCTCTCAGGGTTGCAGCCTGGGCCTGTAGGAGTTTTGGCACCGTGCACCTTGCGGGCCTGAATTTGGCTTTGCGAGCCCTACAGGATTTGCACATGGCTGACTGCAAACTGCGAGCAGGTCTGCAAGGTGCAAAAGGTTTTGTTTGTGTATTGCTGCTCTTTAAAGTGAAATTCCTGTGAGGTGATTTGTCCTGGAGATAAGCAAAAATCAGTAGCCGAGTCTTTGACTGTCACACAGACATTTTTACAATGAAATAGAGGGTCAGAAGGCTCTGTAATAAGTCCCATGCAATAAAGCTCTCAACATTGCTGCTTTCACTGTGTATGCATACTTTCACCTGAGCTTATTTGCCATATTCTTGTTGCACTCCAAATTGTGTCCCTAAGCCTCATCAGCTATATTTAAAGAATTATTTTGGACCCCACCCTTCTTCAAGGCTGTCCCGTCTCTTGCTAGAATGGCTGCTCTGGGGTATGTGCAGTGCCGAAAATTGTGGCAGTGTCTGACACCGTGTCTCCCATCCACCCCATTCACCCTATCAGCAGGAGCACAAGGACTGTGGGATCAACTGGATTTGGGCAGATGAAAGGAGAAGCCCTGGGGCTTGCAACTGCTGAGAAAATGGTGAGCTTTTATTTGAAATCAGAGTCTCGCTGGAAGAACCTAACACTTCCATCCAAATAGACAAGCCAAAAGAGTGCATCTCCTCCATCAGCTGCACCACGAGAATTAGGAGCAATGCTGGACGCCTTCCCTCAAGGACAGCAGGAAGCTGGCAGCACACCTGAGGTGACAGGTCCCTACAGCAGATGCCCACTGTGCCTGCCAGCACCAGTGGCTGGTGCTGAGCTCTGGCAGGAGGGCAAGTGGATGGTCTCACGCCCCCAGAGGGCTTCTGGAGGCTTGAAAGGCCATGGGTGCAAACCGAGACAGCCTGAGCAGCCTGTGGTCGTGTGGAGCCTGCCTTTAGATAGATTTCCTCCATCAGCCTCCAGTGAGCCTCTGCAGAAGACAAAGGCTGCGGTGAAGGGATGGATTTCCATCCTGGTGCTTGCCTCAAGCCTTATGAACCAGAGGCAGCAGTGCCTGAAGAGAAGTAAGGAAATACATTGCTGTAACTTCTTCTGCATAATGGATACTCAGGGCTGAGTCCTGAAGGGAAGGGAAGCAGAGCTCTTCAGGAGCAATCTTCACTACAATTTTCTTCTGATGTTATATAGGATCCCCCCTCACCCTGTTTTTCTCCCAGGCTCTAATTCTGCTATGGGAAAAGGCACTGACTTTGAAATGCAAAGGAACCGTGCCTTCTTCAAAGCTCTCTCATTTGATCAGCATTTTAATGTACACTGCACCCAGTCCTGCTGTCAGCCCTGTGAAAGCAGTGAAGGGGCAGAGTCAAGGTGTGGGAAACATCCTACACTGAGAACTTTAAGAAGCTTGAGCTGAACATATCTAAGAGGAGATATCTAAGCTTGAGCTTAGAAGGAAATCAGATGGGTGGCCAGAATCATCCTTTCTGATCTGACAGCAGCTAAGGCTGTTAAACCATAGGTCTGACATGGCTTGTCCCATCACAGGGAAAGTGAGTGGTGTACTGCCAATGGACAACCTCTGGCCACGCACCAGTGCTGCTCCTCTCTCCCTGTCAGCCCTCCCCAGCATCAGCACCGTGCTACTGAGACAGAAATAGGCCAGAAGGGACCTCCCAGGCCCTTAGAGGGCTGCCCCAGGGGCTTGTCCTGGCACAGCGACACCACATGTACAAAGAGCAGGTAAAGAGGCAGCTCCTGTGTGAAGTAGGCAGAAGGGAACACTGGAAAATAAAAAAGGACCACGCTTTCCTCACTTAAAAGAACAGAAACAGTGACTATAGCAAAGCAGAAATTGCATAGGTTCGGTCTGTCACAAGCAGAGGTACACAACATTTGAACAGCGATCTAAATGTGTCAGCTATATCCTCAAAACAGAGCAAAAACAGACAGACACAAACAAAGGGGTTTTCCTCCAGGTGTACCTTGTGATGTGCCCAAATATAAAAATCCTCCTACAAAATTGCAAATAGTCTCCAAACAAAATAGAAGTAATCATAACTCAATTGCCCAATTGTAGCAAAAAAAAACAACCTTCCTCAATCAAAACCTCCTAAAATGGCTGTCTACAAGACAGAAGGAGAAAAACATCACGTATCCTTCTTGAGAGAGGGAGAGAGGGAAGGGAAGAACAGACTGAATATTTCCATTCACTTTGAATATCTCCATTCAATATCCTGCATGCTCTCCCTGTTTCCTCTGTTAACTGACCATAGCCTTGAGGCTTGCAGAGAGACTCTTTTTTTTTTTTTTTTTTTTTTTTTTTTTTTTTTTTTTTTACTCTCAGAAGCTCTATAAACAACCAGCAAAGGAATAAGAAAATAAATTCTGAATCTTTTCAAATCACATCTCCAGTCAATCTAATCCTCATAGCATACAACAGTCCTCAAGGACCTCCTTTCCTCTCCACTCTCACGTAAATACTCCAGCATATTTCGACCACAATAAATATAATAAAATGCTTCTTTTCTGCACCATTCCAAACTTTGAGATAACTCACAAACCCACTTTTTTTTTTTTCTTTCTGTTTTGGAGGGGGAGGGAAAAATGGTTTTCACTATAGAAAATGCATTAAGAATTATTCATCGGCAAAAACAGCACAAGAAAATATTTTTGACTGAGAGATCACACTCTGCAAATGCAAACTAATTGTCTGACAGACATTATATCTTGATCTGAAGCATTACATTTTTCCACATTGTAGCTATTTGAATGTAAAAAAAAAATAATAATGAAACTCACCTGCCTTTTTTGTACGCCTCATGTATTTCTTTTCCTTGTCGGTGGACTCTGCATTCAGTGGATAAAACCCATCCCCACAACAGCAGGAAGATGCTAAAATGCATTTTATGGACAGTCAACATGTTACCTGAATGTTCTGTATCCAGAAATAGTCCATACAAGAAGAAGAAAAGCAAAACGTAGATCCTGTTTCTCTTTTTAAGACATTATCGGTCTGATCGTTATTGGAAGGATGTTTACTCATACAAAAAATCATCCTGCAGTATTTAATCTGGACAGTGGGGAAAGCAATTTCCACTAAACCTATAAATCCCTCTACGTCAGATGGCAGGGATTTTCTAGCAGTGTTGAATGCATGTATTCTCAGAGAACAATTATTTATTTTTTTTTTTTTTGCCCAAACAGGCTATTTTATTAATTGGTTTAAATTGAACCCTCTTCTGGTGCCTCCCAGAAGTGGCAGATACGCATTTCTGTCTGGTTAACCGCGGTGGTGCAGCTGGTCAGACAGGTGTCATAAGTCATTTTGTAATCCCTGAACTTATCTGCATTGTGGTGACATTTGTTACAGGCGTTCCACAGATTTATAAAGTGTTAATAGACATATGGGTTTGCAGCAAGAAGTCTTCGTTTCCATTTAGCTCTGCAAGAGCGAGCTTTGATCCTCTGTGGTTTTCTAATTACTTTAATAATGCAGTGGTACCTGTGGCTGGAGTGGTCAGTGCCCTCAGGGCTTGTGCCAGGTATCTCACTGCTGAGCAGGGTCTGTGGAAAGCATCTGGGGACACAGAGGGACAGAAGGACAACCTGAGCACAGGGCTGCTTGGGAGGATCCTGTCAAAGCAGAGCTGCTTTATGCCTGAGCCACAGGAGAGCTCCAGGGCTGATGTGCTGGGTCCCATGTGGCTAACAAAATTCTCATTTTTGCTACCGAAAATCAAATGGCATGGGCAGGAACACATGGTTGAATCAGCCACATTGTCCATTCCTTTGGAGCTCACTCCCTTGCTGTATAGCCCACAGCTTCGTGTTTTCTCTCCTTCTCCTCTGTGCCTCCCTGCAAGGCTTTACGACCCTAGTTCCCACTTGTGCCTTGTCACAATGTTCGTGTTGGTTGCTCTTCACAGATGTTGCCCTGAACTCTGCAAACACCACCAGCCTTGTCCCATCCATCCCTGTGCTGACAAGGCACTTCTTCCCCTGCTTGTTAACCAAGGATTTCTCTTGCAGAGCAGTTTGTCAAGTCACCCATCTCTTTTCATGAAAATCCTTCTCCAAAAACCCTGGGGAGATCTCTACCTGATCTTAGCTGCTGTGGCTTTATTAACTCCAGTGAGCATTTACACTGCCATGGGATCCACAGAAACAACACATCAAAAGCCACTAAAATTTCTTTCCATCAACCGAGATTCAGGAACCAGGAATCCACTGAGGTTACTTGGTGCTACACGTAAGAGAAGGGAAACCTTCATCCTCTGATTAACAGGGGGAATTTACTAAGAGAAGATATCGAGAAAGCCAAAAAATGTGTTCAAATGAAATATATTTTTAAATATTATCCTTGAGTTTTGCTCAACCTTGAGCTTCAGTAGATGAAGAGTTAATGTTGCCTGCTTTCTTTATGAGACTAAGAAAAAAATGAAAGATACAGCACTATTTTCATTCAGGAGTTAGAAATCCCGTGAATACTGAACCAGAAACGAATGTATAATTTTCAATGAACAGTTATTTTCAGCAAATTAATCTGTCTTTACAACATGTAGATTATCTGGGAGCTGAATGCAGTTTCCTCAAAAGACTTTATTATTTAGGTTTATCAGGTGATGTGTTTGGGGAGAGGAGTGGTTCCTAGGGATTCCTAACAAAACCTTGTAAACACAAACCACTGCTTAGTTTTACTTGGTTTGATAATCCCATGCATTTTTTCCAGTTCACCCATCAAATGACTTCACAAATATAAAATTAAACACATCCTCTGCATTCCAGATTCCCAGTTAGTAGTAGCGTGAGTACAAGAACTAAACATCTACCCACGTCTGACAACATTCACTGGAAATTTTTTAAATGTCATATGAAAACTGCAATGCCCTTGACTTTGATTGCATCAGATACCTTGTAGACAGTCAGTAGCTGATCCAGGAGCAAATCAAGGAATGAGAGCGGACTGTAGAGATGAAGAAAAGTGAGCAAAGTTGAGGTTGACAACAGGAAAGGCCATTTATTCCCTTTTTAAGGCATCTTTCCTGGAATACTTTTGTGCTTGAAGTTGGATACTTCAGTACTTTATCTGGGTTAGAGTAGGAGCTGAATGCAAATGCTAATCTACTAGGAAAAAAAAATAAAATAAAATCTCAGGCAGCTGAAAGAGATGAAACTGAACAGGAGTGGTTAAAAAAATGCAGAGTTCTTGCCTAAGCAGAAATGAATATGGTTTGAATACTCGGTGTTGGCTCCCACCCTAGCCCTGGGCTGCCCAAGGCCCAGCTCCACGTCGGTGGGTGCTGCTGGGTGCTGATGTCCGCACGTGGCTGTGCTCTGCCTCCCTTTCCCCACGGGGCTGAGCGTCAGGCCAGAGGGATGAAGCAGCAGAAAATGCATCGCTCCTGTTTTTCTCGTTGCCTCCAGAGCAATGCAGCCCTGCAGGCCCATCCCCAGCCCAAGGGAAGGGCAGATCCCAGCAGCCGTACCATGCATGGAGGCTTGGCCTCCACGGGGATGCAGCCTCCAGCTCCTGTGGAGCTCAGGGACCAGCTCGACACTCGCTGCCCCTGCTCAGGGGCTTTATCACTTCAGTACCTTCAGTCCTCAAAGGATTTCAGTGGGACCTTGGGCTTTTACTTAGTAACTGAGGCCTCTAAGTGCAGGCCTCACCGGCTGTCTGGGACTCTAATCCTGTGTTTCCTGGGTTTTCGCAAACAAATGATAAGAAATGTCAGAAAAGTAAATATTTCATTCTGTTTGACCCAACTACATTATTCCGGTTTGTTAAATCAACAAGTTTTGGGCCAACTAAAGATACTTAGCACTACCCACTTTTTCCATTTGGTCAAAGAAAAGCCAACTCTTTGCCTGATTCTATTTATAACCAGCCTATCTTCAAAACGAGAGTGTAGTCAGACCAAAAAAATGAGCCTTTTTTTTCTTTTTCCTTTGACTCAGCTGCATACCGAGATCCTGACCTTGCCAGGAGTAGGAATCCAGTCTGAAGAGCAGTCTTGTGAGCCAGCAGCCACCACTGGAAACCAGAAATGCTTTCAGTGCCCAAGAGGTCAAGGAACTACGCGGTGTAGGTGTCTGACACAATGACAGCTCTACCCAAATCGTGAACCCAGCCTTCTCGTCTTTAATTACACAGAGCTTCAAATTGCACAGTGATGCACAGCATACACAGTGTACAACATCCCTGGAGCTATAACCAGACTGCAACAGCCACACGTAAAAGACCCCATCACATTTACATTTTCTTACCTCTTCCTAATGGGCGCTTGCCTTTATCAAAGAGCTTTTAAAGCAAACACGGGTGGATGTGTCGTGGTACCTCTGTTGTGATTCACTTTTGCAATAGCCGGAGGAGCAGGAGGGTACCAGAGTGATTGATAGGATGCTGTTTGACTTCTGGGAAGCTATTTACCCTGTGCAGCTCTGTTTCTTTCAGAGACAGCACTCTGTGTCTCCAGGGCACACTGCCAGAGTACTGTTTGTTACTTCTTCAGCAGATTCAGTCATGGATGTTGTCAGAGACTCTCAAAATCAGGCTTAATACGAGGTTAGTGGGGTTTCTGCAGCCATTACCCTTGCCTCTTCCTAACAAGTGTATTCCATCCTTTGCGTCCCTCACAAGAGATATGTGCTCACCCTGCCTAAGCTGAAATACATCAGCTGGATACTTCGTACTTGTTGGATACAGGACCAGCTGCAAGAGGATATAAGCACAGACACCAAACAAAATTTGGACAACCTGGGGATGAGGTGGTGTATCCACAGTGCATCTCACTATGGTGGTGTCAGCAGTGGTGCTGGTTATCCACAGTGCTCCCAGCATTAGTGTTCTCTCTGCACGACTTGAAATCAAACTCTCCAGACAGCTGAGAGGATGAGAGGAGTATGAATACACATGTGTACACTAAGCTGACTAAAACCAAAGGAGCCTGTGCAGAAAGGGAAAGAAGATAATATTTCCTTTGCAGGCACAGGAGGCAAATGCACTCTTTTCCAATCTGTAACTGGATGGACTGTGGTTGTGGGGAGCAGAGACCAGGAGCTGCTGGGCAGAGTGGTGCATTTGGGAATTTCCTAAGAGGAAGATTTTGCTTTTTAGTGTTAAAGAGCAGAAAATGAGATAGCATAGGAGTTCACCAGGTTGGGATCATGCCACGTTGTATAGACATCAAGGATTTCATCATGAATAGCTTTTGCACTTTATTATCGCATTTGTGTTTATGCTCCTGTCTCTCTTGCACCTTGCTTATAACACATCAGAGCAGGCTCCCATGCTCCTCATGCCAACACTGGGACTTCTGCAGGGAGTGGTGAGGACATTGGTGGACCTCAAGAAATCATAAATGTTAATGAATAATTAGGTTTCAACACGAGGTGAATGGCAGGGAGGAGAGAAGTGCCAATGAACCCATGACCCCAAGGCCTTCTTATCACAGAATAAAAATCATATAGAGGCAAGGCACTGTACATGTGCCTCTAAGCTGCTATAAATCCCTAAATGGATTGTGCACACTGTATAAAAGGAAAGGGAAATAGGCCAAGCCTACACTGGGCAGAAACCTGAAAGGCTACAGCAAACAATGTGCTTGAGTGAATTGCAGTGCTCTGGGACTAATGCCTCTGGCTGCTGTTCCTCACTGCTCAACAAATAACGATGCTACAGCACCACAGCGAGGCAAACCCTTCATACCGCTCCCGCTTCACTGCAGCTCCTTGCTCGGGGAGGTCTTTGTCCACCCAATGTTTTTCTTTTCTCCCCTCACGGTGTGGTTTTGTGCCTGGGGAGAGCCACTGGAGTTCACAAGTGTCTTTCTGTGGTCCTACACTCTGTTGGAGAGATTATGTGCGTTGCGTGCCGAGCCGTGCCCTTTTGTTTCAGGCCGTCCTGTGATTTCCTGGAGCTGGATTAGGCGGCTGCGTGAGCGCTCGGCAGTGGGCACCGGGCCTTTCATACAGAGGTTCTGCTGCTCAAACTGGGGGAAGGCTCTTTAAGAGGTAAAAGATAGATAAAAGAGACTTTTAAAAAGATATTTTGCTCTGAGCAGTTTTAAGGGGCTGAATTAAAATAGTGAAATAGGCACTTCATTGCCTAACACAGCCCATTGGAAAGTGCTGTTTTCTGATATGCTAGGAGGAGGCAGAGGTGAGATGCTGAGTGTTAAGGATTCCCCCAGCACTTCCCATACATCCTCATCCCCAGGAGTGTACAACACACTCATTTACCAGGAGGGTCAGTACCCTTAAAGGGTGCCAGATTTGCTCCCTTGGAAGATCCAGAACTAAAAGAGATGAAAGGGTTCAGACTGAATTGAAGCTATGCTCTGCATAACCTGGGTAGGGACTAATTTTGCTCTGACTGCTAGATTCAGGTCTTCAGCTCTTCTATGGAGGCCACACCATTCCCCCTTTTATTATTATTATTATTATTATTATTATTATTATTATTATTATTATTATTATTATTATTATTATTATTATTATTTTCAGCAGGTACATTTCTAGCTAAAAGGGTTTCTCAATTTCCTCTGCTCTACTCGCAGCCCATCTGCATTACCCCCCCCATCCAGAATTTATTCAGCATTATGCTCAGTGCACCTGCTTTTCCATCAAGAAATAATTCAAAGTGCTTTAAATAGACAGCAATGGAATGGAAGAAAAAAGGAGTCAGAAATCCTTATACCACAAACACAGACACTGACAGAGCCATCTCAAGGCAGAAGCCAATGCAGGTGTAAATAACAGCAACAGAACCATCGGCAGCAGTTCAGAGGAGGCAGAAGTGCTTAATAAGAGTTGTTCTGCCAATATTTGGAGGGGATTAAGTGAACAACCAGAGTAATTACAGCTCTCAGCCTGACACTGATCCCAAAATATTGGAATGGCTGATATGACACTCAATAAATAAAGAGTTAGAGGGCAATTTAATTAATGCCAATTAGCATGGCTTTAAAGAAAATAGATCTTTCCAAGCTAGTTCTCTTTCAATTAATTTAAAAAGTATTTGCTGGAGGAAATGAATCTATGCAACATGCTTCTGTAAGGCATTTGATGTTGCACCATA